ACCGAAAGACATGGATCAAATGAACAAAATATTGAAAGTACGTCTACATTTTCCAACATTTGGTTTATCACATTTAATGTGTATTCAACATCGAGATGGTTTACAAGAGAGGCGACAGGTCCTCTTGTGAAAACCACAGAAGAATTAGTTTCATCAACATCGTCTCTAAACTTCTTGGTGGTATCATACTCCGTCGATTGTTTCTCATACGTGAGCGGTAGGCTGGTAGGCCCGTCGACCTACCATTTCCATCTTCCTCGATCTAGAAGCGGCCTTCGACTCAGTCCATCGCTCTAAACTCTGGCGCTGCCTTTCCCTAAAGGGAGTGCCCGATATTATAATATTACAATCCCTCTACAATAATAGCCAAAGCCGAGTCCGAGCTTACGGCACTTTTTCACACGAGTTTACCACGGAAAGTGGTATTCGACAGGGTTGCCCTCTCTCTCCATTGCTATTTAACTCTGTTATAAATTTAATTCTTGAAACAGCCCTATCCTCCTGCGGGGATAGCGGCATCGATTTACTCGCAGATGGCAGACTGTCTGATCTAGAGTACGCGGACGACATTGTGCTACTAAGTGATGATCCAGGTAAGTTGCAAGCTTTTCTGGATAGTTTGAGTGCTAGTGTAGCGATGTTCGGCATGCGCTTTCCACCTTCAAGGTGTAAAATACTGCTCCCAGATTGAGTTGGCCCAGTCCCCAGCCTCACCCTGACCGGGGAAGTTTTAGAGAAAGTAGACAAGTTTTGCTATCTGGGCAGCTATATCTCACCCGGCAGGCGCATCACAGATGAAGTGTCAGCTCGCTAACAGAAGGCTCGACTGGCATTTACCAAATTGAGACATCTGTGGTGCCGTTGCGACATCCGGTTGTCTGTGAAGGGTAGAGTGTATGCTGCAGCAGTTTGCTCAGTTCTGCTTTACGGTGCAGAGACTTGGCCATTGCGGGAACAGGATAAAAACAGACTGTCGGTGTTCGAATACCGCTGTCTACGTAGCATTGCACGGATCTGGTGAGGCAACCGGACGAGCAATGCTGAGGTTAGGTGTAGAGTTTTAGGTAATTGCAGTCGTCCACTTTAGCAGGTAGTCATCAACCTCCATAGATTACGCTGGTTTGGACATGTACTACGCATGTTACCAGAGAGGTTGCCACGGCGAGTGATGCTTGCCGAGGCAGGTAGCGGTTGGAAAAAATGAAGGGTGTTCAAACTAAGACCTGGCATGAGGGTATGAAAACCCTGACCAGGAGACTGGCTCACATAAATCCCGTTGTGCTTCCTGGCTGGGGACCTCGGGATGATCGTACCCGATGGTTAGAGACACTGAGCCATTTGTCTGGGTGTCGCAAACGGTGGCGTTCAGGCATCTACTCATTAGTCCTGTAACGTTAGTCCATGTAAATGCATTGTCTTCCGCTTGAATCTGCTATCAACCAAAAGACAGCGACCAAAACCGGCGCACGAAAGT